TTCAATGAAAGTGACTTTGGAGCTAGAGTAAATCACAACCCCTAACTCCCGCAAATAAATTCTAAATAATAAGATCTCGTTAAGTAAATAATAGGTTGTTTAATAATTAATAATTTGCCAAATAAGGACACTTATATAAAATGATTTGTTAAATATTGAAATAGTCTAATAATTTATTAGATATGAGTTCTTATGAGAAATAAGTTGTTTAATAATTAATAATTTGCCAAATAAGGATACTTATATAAAATGATTTGTTAAATAAATAATGAAATAGTCTAATACTTTACTAGATATGAGTACTTATGAGAAATAATCAGAAAATTGTGAACAACAAAATAAATCAATTGAATTTACAGTGAATCTGTCATAAAAAAAATAAAAGCTTATCTGATTTGGTTTTGGTGTTGTTGGGTACTGCTGCGTTGCTTTTCTGAAGGGTGTACTTCGTTATTAGCAGAGATTTCTATTCCAGAACCTTGTGTTTCTCTATACTAATGCCACATGCGGAAATCCGGAATCCTTTGAACTGGTTGATTCTAGCAAGGAATCATTTATCGTCTTGACATTCTATACAGCTAGCAAGTTAGGATCTTCTTAAAAAAACTTCATACGGCTTCTGTAGGGCTTTCGTAAGGCTCCTGAAAGGTACGACTTTCGGTATGGCCTAAGACGGTACGGCGTACGGGCCAGGAATTATTCTGAATTAGGAAAAGAAAGAAATGAAAATGATTTATTCATCAAACAAAGGATGTCTTTACAGGAAGGGATGTTTCTTGGAAACAACTTCCATTTTTTTTTTGGACAGATATTTAAATATGTTTTTTAAAATCAAAATTACTGCACAGATTTCTGACCATTTTAAATATGGCTGCCGACATGATTTTACCTTTAAAGACATCCAATTTGACAAAGAAAATTATTAAACAGTAGATATGATTATTAAACAGTAGCTAGAATAAGAAAATGACTCTAAAAACCTAGTAATCTATGAATAGACTTACCCCAGCTTAATTCTAGTTAGCAAAAAGATAATAACGACATGCGTCTTTCTGACGGCAAAATTCAGAGAGCAAAGACAGAACGCTTTCAACCGGTTCGTCTCGCCTTTGGTGTCTTGCGCATAACGATACTATGAATACAAATCGATATGCCAAAAACACGAAAAGAAAACTTGAATTCATTAATTAAACTTTGCTATTTTCCGTTAGATGGAACTACTTGTACAATATTTGAATTTTAATTTGAAATTAATAATATGGACTAAGTACACGTTACAACAGTTTGAATTTAGATTTAAAAATTGACTCAGTCACTGTAGCAAATTGTGCAAATTGTAATGTGTTAGGATCTGTTCAACTTCCTGTTAAGTTAAATAATAAGGATAACCCATTAGCGTCCAGCCTCCTCATCTGAGGACAGTTTAAAATAAACATTTCTGGAGCCATAAAAAACAATCGATACAATCTATTTTTAGCCTAAGTGCACGTGCATAGATGTAACTTCGGCTGAAAACGTTTAGTTTTGCCGTAAGATTTATACAAGCCAGACGTAATATTTTTGAAAATCTGTGTTTTTTATCGCTCTGTCGGCCAGATGTATTTTAAATCATATCTACTGCTGTACTTTAGGTAAGTGAATACTTATACTATTACTACAAATTCAAAACACATATCTTTTGTTGTGGTATATCACGGTTGCATATTTTTCTTATATTTTTGGAAATCGATGATAAATAACTGTGTCCTCGAATGAGGACGCTGGGATTTAGAGTCATATTTCATCTACAATATTTTTCTGATATATTGTTTTTTTTTCAGAATTAGCCAACATGAGTAGAAAAGTTTGTAAAACTTTAGATGAAGCTGTCGAATATCTATATTCAGAAGAAATCGAGGCTGCCATCGTAGCTTTACCGCCTGAAGTGGATGAGCTTACTAATGAAGATGATCTCAACGATGACGATCTGGATGTACCTGTTGTATCGGATGTTGCAGGACAAACGGAAATAAACTTGCCTTTCGATGATGAAGACGATAATAATGTTCCTTTATCGGTTTTTACCAGACAAGGGCCATCAACGTCACATCAAAAGGAGCAGTCAGATTTTTCATCCAATGTGGAAGAAGAATCCGCTCCAAAGCGGAGTAAAAAAATATTGCTTGAAAAAAACGTACCCAAATGGAAGAAAACCAATCCACAATTTGATGTATGGGAAAATACTAATACGCCGCAAGAAAAGTTTGCCGATATGTTGCCTATTTTGTCTGACGCAAGCATGTTGGAAATTTTTGAACATTTTTTTTCGGCACAGGTGTACCAGAAAATCGTAGACGAAACAAATCGTTATGCAGCTGAACAAAAAAATAAGCAGTCATTTTCTGTGGAAATTGAAGACATAAAGATATTCATTGGATTTTTGTTTTTTTCTGGATATCATAGACTGCCCAGTGAACGGGATTATTGGTCTGACGCTGAAGATTTGGGTGTACAATTAGTAAAGGACGCCATGAGTCGGAACCGATACTTAGAGATAAAGGCATTGCTACATTTGCAAGATAATACAAAAGCAAATGAAAACAAACACGATACGGCGTTCAAAATAAGGCCCCTTCTTGATGCTCTGAATAAAAACTTTCGAAAGTGGGGGATTTTCCAAAAACATCTGTCTATAGACGAAATGATGGTACGATATTACGGCCGCCATGGTCTAAAGCAATTTATAAGAGGAAAACTAATCAGATTTGGTTATAAATTGTGGGCTTTGTGTGGTGACAGTGGATACTGCTTCAATTTCTCCCTATACTGTGGAAAAGAAGCAATACAGTCAAATAACCCTTTAGGAACAAGGGTTGTTACAAATATGTTGACCCTAGTAGACAATCCGTTCGGATACACAGTTCACTTTGATAACTATTTTAGTAGCTACAATTTATTCAAAATTTTGAAAGAGAAAGGATTTCGTGCAACTGGCACTATCCGAGACAACAGGACAGAAAAATGCCCTTTGATGTCCGTTAAAGAAGTGGAAAAGTCGAAAAGGGGAATATTTGATTACCGATTTGACGAAAAAAATAAGATATTTATGGTGAGATGGAACGACAACAAGTGCGTTACAATGGGAACAAATTTTGACACTGTGGAGCAAATTTTTGCAGTCCAAAGGTGGAATAAAGACAAAAAAGAGCATGCTCCAATTACACAGCCCAGACTTATTAATAATTATAATAAATGCATGGGCGGTGTAGATCACCATGATTGGCTACTCGAGAAACATTCAATAGCCATAAGAGGTAAAAAGTGGTACTGGTGTTTAATCACCCGTATTGTGGATATGGCTGTGGTAAACAGTTTTATATTAAATTCCAAATATTATCCATATCTCAAAGTGGTCCGAAGTAGATTAAAGGGAAGTAAAAGGCTCAAAGTCTGTCGACCACATAAATTTATTAGGTTGGGTTGCAAGCGCTTTCGACCTCAAAGGTCATCATCAGGCAAAAAAATTTTTGTAAGTGAGTAGGTAGGTAGGTACAATCTGCAATAATAATTTAGGATAACAAAACGTTTTTTATAGAAATGCTAGGTGTCTTACCACTATGTGTCCACAGAAAAAATTAAATATGTTGAATTAAAATTTTAAATTGTAAAAATTGTTGTAAAAATTATATAAATTGGCACGTACTGCCTCCCTCATTCGAGGTTGGATATTGTTCAATCTTGAACCTCGCCTGCCTCCATCTAATGAAGGTGGTTATAAAAGATAATATCAAATTTAAAGTTCCACATGTGTGCTTAAGGCGCCATGTGAAAAATGTAACTTTTAGAAAAATACCGTTACTCCCCCTATCCCCAGTACAAATGGGGTAGACGGAGTTTGGTTTGTGTACACCCTTAAGCCTAGGCTTAAGGGGTATCAATAATTAATAACTTTACTTAACTTAGGGAATTTTACTTAGCACCTTCGTCATTCAAGGGTGAAGTTGAATGAGAAAATGGTGGAGAATTTACGACATTTGACAACTGACATATGATGGAAGACACGTAGTTACAATTATGGTTGAGATAATAATAATTAAATTTGACATTAGTTAAATTGAATATGCTAAATTAGTTTTGTGACAAATTTTATAGTATAAATTTAAACAATTTGACAGGATGTCCAAGACTTTGGAGAGGCCACGAGTAAATTCTGTTGGTGTTATAAAGAGTGACATTTGATTTTTTTAAAAAAGAAGAATTTGACATTAGACATTAGATTTAGGTTAAGGAAATTTATGATATATATGAATTTTTTGAAAAAAAGGGGGCTATTATATATATTATTACAAGTAAAAGGTTGAAGGATTTACAAAGGATTTAGGAAACTTTAGAAGGTTAATCTGGAAATGATAGGCTTATATGTAGGTTGTAATTGATAATTTAAACACACCACATCTGGGTTATTAATATGTTGATGAATGTAATACATTTCAAGTAAGTCCAGCCTAATGCCTTTGGCTGGACTTTAAGCCTTTTACTTCCCTTTAGTTTTATATTATATAACCTGCTGCATGCCCAGGATAAGACTTCAATAAAGGAATTTCGAAGGAATATTGCTGTTGCTTATCTAAAATTGGGACATGGTAGACGGCTACAAAAAGGAAGCCCACTCAGTCTACCTTCTACATCGCGAGCACAAGTTGTTTATGATGTTCGGTTTGACGGAAAAAATCATATTTTGGAAAAACGGGATAATCAACGCCGATGCCAGTTTATTCTATGTAAAGGAAAACCGCGTACGAGGAATTATTTTTAAAATTAATTTGCGATTTCCCGGCCATATATAATTTGCAGCAGAAAGGTCATATGAATAGAATTATGATTGATAAGGCATGGGATTACATATCAAGATCCATGCAATGCACAGGTAAATAATTGTATAAAATTATAAAAAAAAATGTAGATAAAATACTTTTTCTTTTATATAATTGCTTGCTATTTATGTATCTGTTTAATTTTAGTTGAGGATTATAAAAAAAAGGAAACCCCTTAGGGAAAAATTTAATCGAGAGAAGCAGAAACTTCAGATGCTACAAAGAACTGGTGCTGGATTATCATTTACGACACCGTGGCCGTTAATGTCATTCTTTGAATTTATTATGTTTGATCATAAGACACCTAGAGAGTAAGTATAAGTGTAAAAAAAATATATATTTATATATTAGGTATATACTGTATTAATATATTCATAACTTTGTTTTTAGAACTAGTAGCAGTGTTATTTTAGAGAAAAATAATATATATTTACATTCGCTAATTATGGAGGCAGAAGTAGTTTCAGAACCTTCGATAGATGAAGCTAGTCTGACCAACTTAGAGTTTGATAGTCAAATTAATCAGTGTAATCTACTTAATAACCATCAAGAGGCATCTGCTACTCCACCTGTAGTGAACCTTAATCGTAGCAATTTAGAAAAGGAGCAGTAAGAGAAAAAAAACAGATGCTCAAACGGAAAATGAACTAGATGTTTTGGGGCTATTAGGAAAATTGTCCAATTCAGTGGAACATGTTACTTCTGCATCCCCAAATACCAGAGATAAACTTGACGATTTTTCGTCATATTTGGTAATGGAACTGAGAGTTTTCAGAAGAACCACGAGAAGAATTTATTGACGAAACAATCATTAGACTCCTTCAAATTAAAAGAAAATTGAGGCAAAGTGCAAGGCCATATTTTTTTTAATTGAATTAATATTTTTTTTTTTAAATAAAATATAGGTAGGGGAACCTGTTGTACCTTTGACATCGTTGTACCTCGAATATAACTTCAAAATTCAAACTGCGCGGTACTTTTACTCAACGGGATGAATGCTAGTCATGCACCGGTGAACATACGACAGTCTAAACAGTATTTTGATCGTCTAATGACTAAAGTAGAATTGTGAAGTGGCTTTTATTTTTTTTTTGTTGAAAATGTAAGTTATTTCTTTATAAGTATATCGCAAATATTTTGAGTATGTTACAATTAATAGGTTGGGATTTCCCTCAAATAAATTAAGTGGTTATTTGGCCCTTATTTTGTGTATTTTTAACCGATATATTTCTAACCTCAAATTTTCTACGAATAATTGTTTGACGAACGAACACGGTGTTGTACCTTGAACATAACAAACACGATGTACCTTGGGCATATCCAACGTACAACACGATGTACCTAAAACAGGTTCGAGGTAAATCATGATTTAATAGAGGTATTATGTGTCTTTAATTAATAAATTTCTTTACAGTTATTGTTGTTTTACAACAAAATATGCCACGCAGCAAAACTGGAGTGAAACGGGATCCGCCAGATCCCGAAAAACTGAAAAGTGCGATACAATTGATAAAAGAAAAAAGACTTACATTATACAGTGCTGCAAAATATACTGGATTAGCAAGAAGCACAATTCGCAGATACATGCAAAACTTTGAAAATACAGGCAAAGAAAACTACAACCTTGTACAAAATTGCAGCACAAAGAAAGTTTTCAATAGAGAAGAAAAGAATATGCTTGTTGAATATATAAAAGACGCGGCAACTTTACAATATGGTTTAACGTTGAGAAGTGTTCGTGAACTAGCCTATCAATTTGCTGCGTCAAATAACAAAAGCTATCCTGCGCAGTGGGATCAAGAAAAAATGGCAGGGGAATTTTGGTTGCGTCTTTTCAGAAAAAGGTATAAACATGATTTAGCACTTCGCAAACCGGAAGCTACCAGCTTAGCGCAATCAACAGCTTTTAATCGAACGAATGTCACACTCACATTCAATAACTATAAGACTGCTCTAGAAAAATGTCCTCCTTTACCAGCTGTTAATATATGGAATTGTGATGAGCGGATTATCTACGGTCCATGTTCCTCTAAAAATACTAGCTACAAAGGTTTCTAAACAGGTTGGAAGCATGACTAGCGTAGAAAGAGGAACGAATATTATCATGATTTCAGCGGTAAATGCTGGAGGCGGTTTTGCGCCACCAATGCTTATTTTTCCTTGCGTCAATTTTAAAGAATTTATGTTGACTGGAGCTCCACTGGGAACTATTGGTGGTGCAAATCCTTCTGGTTGGTCCAACGAAACATTGTTTATTCAATTTTTTAAACACTTTCTTCAATACGCAAAGCCGTCAAAAGATTCGGCATGTATTATGTTGATGGACAATCATGAGAGCCACATATCGGTGCCTGTTATTCAGTAAGCTAAAGATAATGGAGTGATCCTGGTAACATTTTATCCTCACACAAGTCACAAAATGCAACCATTAGACAGGACCGTATTTGGTACATTTAAAACTTATTTTAATACAGCAATGAATGAACACATGATTTCGCCAGGAAATATTGGTAAACCAGTCTCAATTTATGGCCTTGCTCAACTCGTAGGAAAGGCGTTTCCTTTAGCTTTTACACCGAGCAATATCATTCAAGGATTTAAAGTAACATTGTTCCTCTAAATGAGAATATTTTTCAAGATTTTGAATTTTCTCCTTCAAATGTGACTGATCGCCCTGATCCAGATGCAACAGAAGACAATATTGGTAAATCTAATCAGCAGCTGACTAATAATGTTTAATTAACTTCTAATTGCCTTGCCTCCACACAGGCGATTACAAATATTGGAGATGTCCAGGCAGAACCTTTGCCTTCAACATCAAGTGCTTTTATTAGCCCTTCCATGATTAGGCCACATCCCGAAGCTGCCCCACGCAAGAACACTCGGAAAGGACGAGAAAAGGGAAGATCGCGCATATTAACTGATACCCCTGAAAAACTTATCATTGAAGAACAAAAACAAGTTAAAGCAAGAAAAGTTACAGTATCTGCTAAGTCCAAAAACACCAAATATAACCCTAAACAAATCGTTAAACGAAAAGTACTGCCAGATCCTGATTCTTCATCAGAAACTTCCACATTTGAAGATTTTTCTTTAGAAGATTCAAATGATTCCGACAGCTCTCTACATTTTTCTGATTTAGATATGGGCATGAAATCAAACAAGAATATTGGAACATCGCTACTAGAAGCTACACAAATATCTTACCCTCCTCCAAGGTACGCAGTGGGGGATTTTGTTATTGTAGTTTATGATGCTAAATTTTTCCCAGGTAAGATTCTGGGAGCGGTGGTAAGTGCAATGCAGAAAACCTTTAATTTTTGGAAATGGCCAGAGCGAATAGACTCGATGTTTTATCTCTGGGATGACATTCTAAAACATATTTCTCCCCCTAAGAAAAGTCATTCGAAACGAGGTAAAAGATATGTGCAATATTGATGAGAATTAACAGAACTTTTGAGTTACTAGGCAGTTCTAAACATTAAATTTTTATTTTTATTCTTCTTTTTAACAATGTAACACATTTTAAAATCACAGTGAGTTGTTTTATTCCATGTTACTGCATCAAAAGTATCGTGTTACATATTACCAAAATATATGTCCAAGGTACATCTTGCCTGTGTTCCAGGTACACCACCCCTGTTGTACCTTGGATAATATATAATTTTTTTTTAAATGTTATTTTTTGAAACAAAAAATGTATTTTTCTTTACCAAAAAAAATGTATTATACGCTTAACAGTACATATTATACAATAGAGGGTATTAGGTGAACCTAAACAATATGTATAAATAAAAAAATAAATAAAAAACAAAATAGATCCGAGGTACAACAGGTTCCCCTAAATATTAAAGCACCTTTATTGTCTACTATGCACTAAGATTATTTTGCCATAAACAATCAATTGTATCAAACTGGCTAAAATAATCTTTTAAAAAATTTCTGTAATCCCAGGCCTCCTTTTTGGCATTTCTATTTCCAAACAGACCGACATTTGAAAAAGCATTATTTGTTGGAACTTGAATACGCCATTCGCCTTCTGAGAGAGTTCCATTTATTTCCCTGTCTATAAATTGGGGTGCATAATACACTAAGGTGTCCTGTTTTTGTTTTTTAATAAAATTATGTAAACAAGTAGTTGCTTTCACAATAGCATCTACTGTTTCAGCATACCTATTTATTTCTCTGTGAAATATTCGCAAGCGGGCTACCATAATTCCAAATGTAATTTCAATAGTTCTCCTTGCACGAGATAGCCTGAAAGATAAGTTAATTAGAAATGAGCATTGTTTATTGGATTACAAAAACAACAGTTCATACCAATGTCATTACAATTCTTAATGAACTTGTATCAATATATTGTGTAAGTATTTAATATTATTTTAAGTACATACCGATAATTGAAAATTATTTCCTCTTTGTGATTTAAACCAACACGTGGTCTACTAAATGGCCTCATTAAATTTATCTGAAGAGGAAAGGCCTCATCTCCAACAAAGAATAGTGATACTTTATCATTTATGAATGGTAGTTCCTTTCGCAATGGTATGTTTAAATTTCCATCTTTTAGCTTTTGACCAAAATTTATTGAAGAATACCTCCATCACTTTGAGCTCCATATGAACCAACATTCACATATGTAAAAAAATATTAGGCATCACAGAGAGCTAGCAAGAATGTGCTAAAGTATTTTTTATAATTAAAATACGATCCAGAATTGATAGGTGTAGAATTCTCACATGTTTACCATCTATGGCACCTAAACAATTTGGTAACTGCCACATGTGATAAAATTCTTCAGCTTTTTGAACCCATTCATCATCTGTTAGTGGTTTTAAATAAATAGGATGTAAAACTTCCCATATGACATTGCCAGTTTCCCTTATGTTACAAACTGTCGATGGATGTATTCTAAACTAGGATATGAATCTCCGGTCGCCAGAAATCTCAGCGTTACCATTAACCTGAGGGCAGGTTATATTGCTGCTCGTGGTGAAACTTTTACCAAATATTTTCCACAAAGGGAGAGCAAATATTCAAACGATGTACTACTCATTCTTGTGAAATTAAACAAATGAGCGTTACCAAGTTTCATTTCAACAATTAGATTGTTATAAAACCTTTGCTCTTTTTTTTAAATAAATATCTTGAACCCATATCCTGCGACGCTTTCTTTTTTTTATTATTATTTTTTAAATATAAAACGCCTACAACTGTAGTCAGCGCACCTAATATTCTCAGTTTGAAGCAATTTTTACGGTTCATTTTTATAAAACTAATCTTCCTAATTACAATAACAAAGCAACATAACCAACAAATTTTATACCAGAGTTCTAAAATGTAAATGGCCACCCTCTGAAGTGTCAATTTTCAATTCGCTTAATTCCGTATATAATTGAATGTAAATGTAGCTTTAGTTTTAGATATTGTAGTTAGTATTATTTTAGGTGTGGATTTTTGGAAAAATATGTCATATTATTGATACAGGAAACGTTTCTCCTATTAAGCAGATGTATTATCCTTGTTCTCCCTATAGGCACACAATTATTAATGATGAGGTGGACAAAATGTTAAAGCTAGAACCGTCAAAATCGCCGTGGTCTTCCCCAGTGG